CCAGTCTTGATACTCTGTTTTCCATTTCATTCATCCTATTGGTGAGGCTTTCTCCTGTCATTTCTAATTGGCTTATTGAGTGTTTCACTTTCTTCTTCATTTCAGCCTGAGTAGTCTTTGATATTTCTAGCTCTTTTCTGAATTCATTCAGAAGTTAATCCCTATCTTCCTTCAGTTGTTTGATTTGTGTGTTCTTTAAATTCACTGAATTCTTTTATTTATAATTGTTCTTTTGAGTTCCTTGTCCTGCATTATCTCTAGGGGGTTCTTATTATACTCCTCTAGAGGACTGTTGGTATTTGGTGGCGATATGCTATTTTGGTTTTTCATGTTTTTTCTCTGTGATTTTGACAAGTGAATTTCTTTTGTAGTTTCTGATTCTTGTGTGAGATTCAAGCCTTCAAGTTTAGGTCTGCTTCTTTTTGTAAACTTTGTGTGTCTTTGTGGTTTAATTTTGGGGCATGAAAGGCTGGTTCCTCTAAGCTTCCAGTTCTCTCTTTTGATTTTATATTGTAGTGGCCAGATTGCTTTTGTCTTCAGGAGTTCCCACAGAGGCCCAAGTCAGATGAGGATCAGATGCTCTCAGGCTTTCTCTTAAGGTCTGGATCCCTCTAGGGTAGGCTTTGGCCTCAGGAATTTGGGGGTTGGACTGGCCTGGGAGCCCGGCCCAGGAAAGATGCTGGTCAAGGGCAGCTGGTGGCCATACCACCCACAGATGCAAAGGAAGATGGGGGCGGGAGGCAGCTCCAAGGGCCCCTGGGGACTGCACTGAGGAGCTAGGTTGGTCTGGATGCAAAGGACCAGGAAGAGGAAAGGTCATCCCCGGCATCCAGGAAAGAGGCTGGCGGGTTGTGCTGACCCAGGGAGGCAGAGGGAGGTGGGGGTGGGGCCAGGCCCAGATACCCCTGGGGACCCCAGAAGGAACTGAGTTGGTCTGGATGCACAGGATCTGGAAGAAGCAGTGGTGGTTCCCCAGGTATCTGGGGTGCCAAGACAAGGAATGGGACAGGGCCCAGGCTAGGAAGAGAGACCAGCGAGGGAGATGGGATGGTGAGTGAGGCTGGGGGAATCAAGGCATGGAGGGCAAGATGGACTTATCCATGGAAAGAGAGGCCTGCGGGTCCAGCAGGCCCAGGGAAGCAGAGGGAGGTAAGGGTGGGGCCAGGCCCAAAGGCAGTGCTCCTGGGGACCTGAAAAAGAACTGAGTTGCTCTGGATGCACAGGATCAGGAAGAAGCAGTGGTGGTTCTCCAGGTGCCTGGGGCGCCAAGACAAGGAATGGGACAGGGCCCAGGCTAGGAGGAGAGACCAGTGGGGGAGGTGGGAGGGTGAGTGAGGCTCGGGGAGTCAAGGCGCGGAGGGCAAAGTCGACTTACCCCAGCAAGAGAGGCCTGCGGGTCCAGCAGGCCCAGGGAAGCAGAGCAAAATATATGTCTTAAATAATTACAAATTTTTTTTCATATGCCATAAAACATGTTATTTACTTTAAATTTTTTATCTTACTGTTATTGAGCACATCGTGTGTATGAAGATCAGAGGACAACTTTTTAGGGAGTCAGTTCTCTCCATCCACCTTGGGTTCTGGAAATCGAACTCAGGTCTTCAGGCCTGCATGAGCCATCTCACTGACCCAAAATATAGTATTTATATTCAGTTTTCCTTTTGTCTTACAGGTATAAAGGGTCAAGTGTTTGATCAGAATGGAAACCCATTACCCAATGTAATTGTGGAAGTCCAAGACAGAAAACATATCTGCCCATTTAGAACTAACAAATTTGGAGAGTATTACCTGCTTCTCTTGCCTGGCTCCTATGTAATAAATGTAAGTATCCAGTCTTAGTTATTATTAAAATATAGAACTCACAATGCTCATCCAGGAGGAAGTAAGTCTGGAAAATCCAACTGTAGAGACATGGGGCAGAAGGAAAAGACATCAGACTGACAATCAGCGGAGCTTGGAGAAGGCAGGAATGAGAAGGACAAATGAGGGGAAAATCATGTTTTTTCTTAACTGGAAGCTGATTCTTAATGTAAATAAGTCCTAGTTTGTAATTTTTTTTAAGTTTTAAAAAATTTGTTATAGGGGCTGGAGAGATGGCTCAGTGCTTAAGAGCACTGGCTACTCTTCTATAGGACCCAGGTTCAATTTCCAGCACCCACATGGTGGCTAACAACCATCTGTAACTCCAGTTCCAGGGGATCTGACACCCTCTTCTGACCTCCACAGGCATTGTACAACATGGGTGCACTTACACACATGCAGGCAATACACTCATATACATAAAATAAAAATAATATATTTTCTTTAAATTAGTGTTAGGCAGGGCATGGTGGCACACTCATTTAATCCCAGCATTCCAGAGGCAGAGGCAGGTAGATCTGTGAGACAGAGGCCAGCCTGATCTACAAGTTTCAGGCTAGCTGGGGCTACAGGGAGACCCTGTCTCAAAAAACAAAAACAAATTTATTGTTGTGTATGCGTGCCATGGCCCACATATACAGTTCAGAATCAACCCAGGAGTCAGTTCTTTCAGTCCACCATGAGTTCGGGTTGTGAGGCTTGCCTGGGAAGTGCTTTTACCTGCTGAACCATCTCACTACCTCATGATTTCTTTTATTATAAACACATGGAACATTAATACTAAGATCAGGAGTAATATGGCATTGTCAAGATGCCTTGCCGGTGGCTCAGAGAGAGAAGTCAGGGCAGCAAAGGAGAAACTATTCTAAGAATGAGCGAGGAAGAAATCCAAAACTCAGCAAAGGAACGATGGAAACCCTAAATGGCACTAGCGGTTGACAAGGAACCTAGAGAAAAGTGCACGGCATCCTCAACCCTGGCTCCTGGCCTGCAGAGGAACTGACACGCTGCATGAGGGAAGCAGGAAAGTGGCAGCAAGCCCCGCCACAGCAGCAAACGAGAATTCCTACCTGAAGACTTCATAAACCTTAGACACAGTTTGAGGAGCTGATCTGAAAGTGACTCTGCTGCTCGAAAGAAGGGTCTTGCTTTGAACCCCTTCCTTACCAACCCCCAATAGCTGCTGCCAGACACCATCTTGGCTTAGAAGCTGGCAGCCCAACCATGACTCTGACAGAAGCCTTGGGCCAGTGTACACTTCACTGAACAGAAAACAGACCTCTGAGTCGTCAGCTACCATAGCCACAAGCCCGAGGACCCACAAGATCTAGGGAAGTCTCTCCCGGCCCACAACATTGGCACTACAACCTGTTTGAGTCTCAGCTTCACCACCCCTGCCAATCAGGGGCTTGGAAAGGTTCCATCTGGGCTCCACAGCACCAGGAACACAACTACCAGGTGGCTCCAGCCCTGCCAGCACCTGTACTCATTTGGTCTCCTGCCCAGCCCTGTGCCCTGGGACCACAGCTGCAGGCGCAAAAACTCTCAGCTTCTCTTACACGTAGAAGATACTTACTAATAACTATGTATGAAAAACTCACAGGCAATACCATGCTAAATAGAGGAAGGGTTGAAAGCATTTTCTCTAAATTTAAGAACAAGGCAAATACAGGAACTCTTAAGAAGAGCTATTAGGCAAGAAAAATAAACAGTATCCAAATTGGAAAGTAAGTAGTTAATTATCCTTACAGATGTCATGGTTTTATGTATAGGAAAACTGAAAGATGCCATTAAAAAGCTGAGTCTTGAACTGGAGAGATGGCTCAGTGGTTGAGAGCACTGGCTGTTCTTGCAGAGGACACAGGTTCGGTTCCCAGATCCCACATGGTGGCTAAGAAGCATTCAAAGCTCCAGATACAGGGGATCTAACGCCCTTCTCTGGCTTCCATGGGCATTGCATGCACAGGTGCACTTAGATACATGCAGGCAAAACACTCATACACATAAAATAAACATAAATTTAAAAATTTTAGCCAGGCATGGTGGTGCACACCTTTAATCCCAGCACTTGGGAGGCAGAGGCAGGTGGATCTCTGTGAGTTCAAGGCCAGCCTGGTCTACATAGTGAGTTCCAGGACAGCTGGGGCTACAGGGAGACCCTGTCTCAAAAAGACCAAAAAAAAAAATTTTTTTTTTAAAGCTGAGACTTATATATGAATTCCATAAAGTCACAGGATAAAGTCACATGGAGAGGCTGGAGAGATGGTTCAGCAGTTAAGAGCACTGACTGTTCTTGCAGAGGACCCAGGTTCAGTTCCCAGCACCCACATGGCAGCTAACAGCTGTCCATAACTCCAGTTCCAGGGGATCCAATGCCCTCTTCTGACTTGTGAGCACTTCACAACACAGGTGCACTTACACTCATGCAGCCAATACACTCATACCCATAAAATAAAAATGATAAATAAAAAACAACATGGAAAAAAAAGCCAGCAGCATTTGTACATACCAGTAATGAACTTGATAAGAAGAAATTTAAAAAGCAATCCCAGCAAAGCATGGTGGTACATGCTTTTAATCACAGCACTTGGTAGGCAACCCGGTCTACATATCATGTTCCAGGCCAGTCACAGACACACAGTGAGACTTTGTTTTAAATAAATAAATAAATAAATAAGTAAATAAGTAAGTAAAAAGAAGAGGCAATCCCATTCACAGTTGTTACAAAAAATGAGATATTTCAGAATAAATTTAACAAAAAGATCCAGTGAAAATTATAAGCAACTGATGAAAACAATGACAGAGGATACAAAAAAGAAAAGATACCCTGTTCACCCATTCATGGACCAGAAAAGTCAATAGCATCAGATTAACCATACAAAGTGATCTATAGATTCAATGTAATTTCCATCAAAACACCAATAACTCTTCACAAACCCAGAAACATATATGTTCCTAAATTCATATGGAATCACAAAGACCCAGAATGACCCACGCAGTCCTGTTGTAGGGAGTGGGGGCAATGCTGAAAGCTTTATAATTCCTAACCATAAAACATACTATAGCCAGGCATGGTGGCACACACATTTAGCCCCAGCACTCGGGAGTTAGAGGCAGGCGGATCTCTGTGAGTTCAAGGCCAGCAGGGTCTACATAGCGAGTTCCATGCCAGCTGGGGCTACAGGGAGACGCTGTCTCAAAAAAAAAAGCTACAAAGCTACACTATAGTAATTAAGTCAGCATATACCCACATAAATACAGACACATAGGCCAATAGAACAGACTAGGGAAGCCAGAAACTAATTATGTTCATACAATCAGCAGGTTTCTAAGGCACCATGTGCACACAGTGGAGAAAGAGTTTCTTCAGTAAATAGTGCTGGCCTATGTAGAAGAATCAAACTCAATTCCTCACTCAGTATATACAAAAGTCAACTCAAAATGAAAACACAGGAGAAACACTTCAAGGTGTTGACTTGAGCAATGAATTTTTAGATAGGGCCCTTTTTAAATAGGCAAATGAGAGCTCAAACTAAGAGGCTTCTGCATAGCAAAATTAAGAGCTGATCTACAGGGTGGAAGAAAAGATTTGCAAGCTACTCATCGATCAGAGATTGGGTTCTGGATACACAAGAAGCTCAAAGGCCGCGAGGAAAAAAACACATGATCTAATTAAAAAATGGGCTTAAAAAACTAAACAGAAGCCCGGCGTGGTGGTACACACCTTTAATCCCAGCACTCAGGAGGCAGAGACAGGCAGATTGCTGTGAGTTCAAGGCCAGCCTGGTCTACAGGGAGACCCTGTCTCAAAAAGACAAAAAAAAAAAAAAAACTAAACAGATGCTTCACAAAAGAAGCCAAATAAGTATGAATTTGAGCCCGAGTGGGTTTTTCATAGGAACAAACTAAATGAACAAGACCCAAGTTAGTTGGACAGACTTTGCCTCTTCTTCTTTGACATGACTTTCTCTAAGAAATTCAAGATTTTTCTGCTTTATTAGTGGGTCTCATATCAGCCACAGTCAGCCACAGCAGTCATTCTGTACACACGCAGTCCCAAGGGAAGGCAGACACCTCTTCTTACTAAACACTGTCTTTGTATTTATTTCATCTTTTCAACATAATGAAAGGTGTGGTCTTCAGTCTGAAAGTAGCACTGGGGATCCTCTGGCTCTGTAGGTTAACCCCACAGTACCCCACAGGGGCTCAATTGCTCACTCAAGAATTCTTGCTCTTTCTGAGATGGGCAGAGCTCACTATGGGCCTAAACATGGCCTTTTATGGGTCTAGGCATGGTGGAGCAAACTTTTAATCCTAGCAACTCTCGAGACAGAGGCAGGTGGATCTCCATGAGTTTGAGGCCAGCCTGGTCTACATAGCAAGCTTCAGGCTAGCCAGGGCTAAAAGGAAAAAAGGCCTGCTGGGCGTGGTGGTGCACGCCTGTAGTCCCAGCACTTGGGAGGCAGAGGCAGGTGGATCTCTGTGAGTTCAAAGCTAGCCTGGTCTACATAGTGAGTTCCAGGACAGCTGGGGCTACAGGGAAACCCTGCTTCAAAAGACAAAAAAAGGGAAAAAAAGGCCTTTTATTTTCCATTCTATTAAAAAATTTCCCTTATACTAAATCTAGCTTATTTTTATACACTCTCACAAAGAAGTCACATATTCACTGAGTAATTACGTCATTTGTTGGCCATTAGACCATTCACATGTCAACTCTAGGGAGTGTTCATTCTTAACCAAGACTGGAAGATCTGTGAGCATGGAACTGAATGGCTAAAGTAGGTATCACTTAGAAGTTATGTCAGTGTTATTCTCCATTCTTTACCTTCCCCCGAATGTAATGAAAGCACTTAATGGACACAGCCTATAGTTGATTAGTGAGCTTCTTTTTCTTCCACATTCATTTCTTCCACTAAAAAAAAAAAAAAAAAAGAAAAAAAATCTAGAGGAGAAGGGAGAGATGGCTCAGTGGTTAAGAGCACTGGCTGCTCTTGAAGAGGATCTGGGTTTTGTTCCAATACCTGCATGGCAGTTCACAACCTTTCCTAACTCCAGTTCCAAACATACATGCAGGCAAAACACTCATACACATAAAATAAAAACAAATTTAAAGCAATGTAGAGGGCTGGGGAGATGAATCAGCAGTTAATAGCACATCCTGCTCTTACAGAGGACCCAAGTTTGGTTCCCAGCACCCACATCAGGTGCCGACAATCACCTGTCACTCCAGTTCCAGGGGATCTAACACCCTCTTCTGGCCTCCAAGGACACCTGCACTCATGTGTACATACCCACACAGACACATATGCATACACATAATAAAAATAAAAATGGGATCTGGACAGATGGCTCATAGATTAAGAGTGCACAGTGCTCTTGCAGAAGACTGGAATTCAGTTCCCAGAACCTATGTCAAGTGGCTGTCAATCACCTATGACTCCAGCTCCATGAGACTCTGACACCTCTGGCCTCTGTGGGCACCCAGATACGTGTGCACATATCCACACACAGACACATAATTAAAAACAAATCTTTTAAAGAGTAAAAATAAAAATAAAGCTTTTTCTTTAAAGCAATTTAACTGAAGAGTCATAGGAACAAAACTAGACAAAACCAAATCTTTTTAAGAAAGCAGTAGAGCCAGGTGTGGTGGCACACTCCTTTAATCCCAGTGCTTGGGAGGCACAGGCAGGTGGAGCTCTGTTGGTTCAAGGCCAACCCGGTCTACATAGCGAGTTCCAGGTCAGCTGGGACTACAGGGAGACAGCTGTCTCAAAAAGACAAAGGGAGGGAGGGAGGGGAGAGGGGAGAGAGAGAGAGAGAGAGAGAGAGAGAGAGAGAGAGAGAGAGAGAGAGAGAGAATGTGAAGATCTGACGGAAAAGTGGGGG